AAATATTGTTATAATATTCAAGAATCTGTCGCTTCAACCTATATTAAATATTGCAAAAAAATATTACTGTAATATTTGTGTGCTATCTGGGTTGTTGAAAACTGCAACGTTAATTGTGCTTGAGTCGAATTAGAAATGTTGATTAATGATTGATAAGGAATACAGCACGATTTTTTGGGAAAATGTTTCAAAAGTCTGTTCAGTTGACTTGAATTCTTAAGGCGAAAGTTTTTGCTCACTGTTTCGTGCTTTATATGTAGGAAGGTTTCTTACTTAAACCAGTCTTGTAAAGTGGGCATCTGGCAGCTTATGTTTTTTCTCAAGGTTTTGAACTTTACATCGTGGTTGAAAGCTTATTCAAATTAATTTGAATTTATAGTGCAATCCTTCAAAACTCCCCCTTTATTTATACATTGAGTTGAACCTTTTCTTCCATTTTTGGTAATTAAAATCGACAGATAACTTATTAACTCGTTGTTGACTGCAAATTGTTTTCGATTTGAATTTCTACTTTCAACCGAGTTTCTTCTCTTTCGCGTTCTCAAGTTTCAATTTTCCGGCGTCTGTAAAAATCATCATTCTTTAAAATCAGCGAAAAACAGCTCGTTGAGCTAATTAGCTTTACAGCTTGTTCTATATAGTTGAGGCGGATTCTATTTTTTACAAACTGCTTGTTGGGTATTTCGCCTCAAAAATTGTTATGGTTGTTTTACATTTTTTTAAAGACAAAAACTTTTGAGGCGAAATACCCAACAAGCAGTTTGTAAAAAAATAATTGAATTCTAAATCTTTGAACATAAACTGGCCTGTGCTTTCCTTACCTTGGAAAATTTTGTTCATTCGAAAAAAAAATGCGACTAAAAGACGAAAATGTTTCGTTATTTTATGATTAAATGAACACTCCGTATATGACGACGATTCTTCAAGTAGTTGATTTAATTTTTTTTATAGGTACGAGACATTTCCCATGCGTCTTGCGGCATAATCGCACGATCAGCAGGCCTTTTCCAAAATCCGAAGACAATCTGTGCTTGCGATGGTACCACCATTTGGGATGAAGTAACCAAACCGAAATCTAAGTCAAGTTTATAGTTAATAAGGTTGAAAATGTAAAGTCTACTTAACTGAAAGTGTTTTAGTGCAAATATAGTTAAGTATTTGATTATTTGGAAGTAATTTGAATGCTGGGGTTTTTGCCTTTTCGAAAATAATGTAATAAAGTTGGGTTTTGTACAGAAAATTTGCTTCTTTCTTTGATTAGTCACTTGATCCTTTGTAGGCGGTCCCATGATCTGTAACCATTTAACATACCGGTGCAAACGCGAAGACCATTTCTTTGTAGTTATGGGATGTTAGCCATTTAGCATACTCATTAAATATGTATGTTTGTGTTTAAAAGTGGAAGAGGAAAATAATCGGTAATTGACGCCCGATTTTTCGCAGAGGCGTACCAAGGCGGTTTTACCGCTCAGTGCTATTTGGGCGAATTCAAACTTCTACAAAGTAGGCCCTAATTCTACTCATATTTCAGCAGATCACATTAAAATAGCTGCAGTTCTCACGAGGACGGGTTGTCCAATTTCCGCACACACGCGTTAAATCTGTTGGAACCGGTTGCTAATTTTCTTCAGCGTAAAGACCATTGTCCATCATGGTCCACCACTGTCCAAGCAATTAACTAAGGTCAACAGACTTTTGCGGGTTTTGCCGGACCGATTCCATTCTTTTGATCTTAAAATATGTACTCTTTATCACTTCAGCTGCTTCCAAGTACCCTCATAAGTCACCAACGTAACTGTTTGTGTCCGTTATATAAAAGAACAATATGCGAAAAGTATATTCGAGCGCTCGGAGTTTCGAAAAATGGCTGCTGCCGCTGTTGGTCTATTTTTCATCAGTTTCCTTCGCTGCGGATTCGGTTCTGACAAGTTTCAATTGCACAGTGTTATGAATGAGCCAGAGTTAATGCACTATTTCCAAACGACGAATGCTGAAAAAGTTCCCGAGTATGAGATATTGAACTTGGCTAGTGCTTCCGAAGTGAACCCATTTGGAGATGAGGTTGAATATGAGTTTACAGCCTTTGATCGGTAAGAATTTGTCCTCCCACTGCTCAGTTGGGGTGAGTTAAATTTCCTTTCTAGACCGATAAATTTGAAACTGAAGAAAAACCTCGATATAGTAAACCCGTCATTCAAAACGTACATTCACGACGAAAACGGTGTAAGATTCTTCAATGAAACCCCTTCGGATTGCCACTATTTGCACGAAGAAGCCAATCTAGTGGCGGCTTTGAGTCTTTGCGCGCCTGGAGCGGTGGTAGGTTGAGCCCCTTAAAAGCCTCACACGTTGCAGGACAGTTTGTGCACATTTCAGCAAGGGCTCATTTTTGCCGATAATTCTTCATTCGAAATTCAACCGCTGCTTCCAAGGCTTCAAAGGCTAACCAAGCGCCACGCGGGAGGCGAAACAGCCCCACATATCATAAAGCGAGCACGGTTCGACAGTGATTTTTTATTCGATGAAATTTTTCCTATCGCTGGTAAGACT